AATCGAGCCACTCCGGTCGAACTTTCGAGTGATATTTCCCCTCGCCTATATTCCTCTTTCAATCTCTCTCCAGTTTCGCACTTGGAAAAATAGAGGTATTTGTAGCTTATATGATTCGTTGCTCGCCGAAAAACGTACAAAACGGAACTTTCTATCATCGCGGCCAATCGTATTTCTGTATTACATTTGTAACATTACGTTTCCACGGTGTTCGCGTCAAAGGACGCGTTTGCATGTCGAAAAAATGAGTAACATTTCCGTTGATACAACGAGGTTTAACCTCGAATGTATCGGCATTCAATCGTCGAGATCGGATCGGAATAATTACAACCACGGTTTGTTGGACAAGATGGTTGCTCGTGTTTCGCTGACATTTCAGTGGCGATACCGAAAAACGGTAGAAAATTTTGGCACACGGGCGTCACTGTGAATATCCCCGATAAGATCTCTTTTTCTCTCCCTTTATCTCTCTCTATTTGCCTCCCTTTCTCCCTCATCCTATAACCGTGCTCGTAGATTCGATTACAGGGAACAATGGGCAGCTTTCCATGAAGAAACAGTCGGTTTTCTGCCATGAATATTTTCGATGGAAACCTGCATATTGATTACGCGAATACCGCGTACACCGGCATTATTGCAAAGAATGGGGGTATAAACTATCCGGTCGATCGATATTGTAATGCTTTGAAATTTAGATGCTCCTCCCTTTTTTTTTTTTTTTTTTTTTTTTTCGTCGTTATTTTCCGCCAACTGTCGAGGAAACGAGTTTCCAAATCGAATGGACCGGCCGATTTATTTTGAATTTATAAATAATATTGTAAAAATATTCAAGGCATTGGATATCGGGCCAGTCTTCTAGGTAACGAAGTTTCCTATTCTTTTCTTTTCCGATAAATTCGACGTTGGAAAAGAATGGAATAATGAACTTCCTTTACGATGACTTTTCGAGCTCCTCTTCTTCGATATTTTTACGATTTTAAAGAAGATTTAGAAAATTCTTAAAGTGAACTCTGAATAATTTTTCATTTCGAGTGATGAAAATCGATGTTCCATTCATCGGGATTACTACTGAGGAAATATTTACTTGAGCGTCAAATTGAACGTAATTACAATGTTTGGTAGAAATATTAACTCGGAGCAATATTGCGAAATCAGTACCTTTACTTGACATAACATTTGATGCAACGATGCATTTTTCATTGGTATTCTATCGACAAATAACTGACTGCTTTAAAACAAACGGTACTCCGCGAAACGAAATAATATAAATAATATGCATCGCCTGTTTGTTTTATGTCTAGATTTAAAGTAATTTCATTGCGTCCAATTAGGGACGCAATATCCAAATTGTTTTTACTCTGCTTGCATAATATTCTACAATTTCATAATTGATCGTTATCTAAATATTGAGCCCGACGACAATTATTTATTAAATCGTTGTTTAATTCAAAACGTGCGCGCATAAAATAGAGAGATGTGCACAGTTTACTCACGAGCACAGGCAGTGTGCTGCGGTCAGGACGAATCTTGAATTAAGAATGGTACCGCCGCAGAAGTGTCCACCTTTTCTGCTTATGCTCACCATCCAAGGAAACTCGTGGGGAATCGCATTTTGCCCTCCGATTAGTCTTGCCGTGCGTGTACCGACATTTCCTTGGCCGCAGGGGACGTCAGCGACTGTTATCGCAAGCATTTCATTCACTTCGTTAATATTCGATAGAAAACGTATGCAGTCGGATGGGAAAAAATGGGAGAACGTGGAACAGAAATTTGGGATGGTAATTAACCCTCGAATATTCAATGAAAAGATCATTCGACAAAAGCATATTGTAATAATATAAAAGATGAATAATCGTACAATTGCACGTGTAATATTTGTAAATATTTTCCCACAATTGTTATATTTTAAAGTAACTTACAAAGTTGAAATATTTGACAAGAGGAAGGTGAATAATTATAAAATAAATTCACATTAGTAAAAGTGTGATAGCAATACATGCTAAACAATTAAAATGCTTAAAAAATTGAAACATTGAAATAAGAGAAAATGAAGATAATCAATATAGAAGTTGCTTTCAGTTGCATAAAAAACGAAACATATATAATATCGAGTATTGGAGCTATCCGAGGATTAATAATTTAAATATTTTGCCTTTTTCTAACTTTTGTCGAAAGGTAATGGTATCGTTTTTAACGATAGTACTGTTTTAATATTTGCTACTATGTAACTTTTATCTCTTTTAAGAGATATCGTTTGATGTCGCCGAATGGCAAGAAAACAGAGAATTTCTTTTCATTTCAGTGGCAAAAACTGTTAATCGTTCCACCTTCCTATTTTTTTCATTCGTTTGCGTATAATTCGCGAAATTAGAAAGAGATTAAAAAGTCTAGACCTCATCTTCGTCGCAATTAAGTGAAATTACGAGAACAATTTACAATTAAAGGGAAAATGGTTTGAAAAAGTTGCGACCACCGAAGAACTCACGGTCCCGGTTTCTCTGTATTTTTCTTTCTTTTTTCTTTTTTTTTCCATTAGTCGAGCTCGTACACGAGAAAGCCAGGAAAGTTCGTTTCAACTTTTATCAAAAATAATCACTCGGTAAGCGGCGTGTTCATTAACACCGAACAAAATCCTGTTTTGGTTGCATCTTCTATGAAAATGGTCCGTTTAGGTGGTCACGCAGAGAGAAAAAAGAACCGGTTAGTTGGATCGGTGGGTGGTCATTAGAATTTAAATCATTTTCGCAATTCATTTAGCGAGTCGTTTATACATTTTGTTCCTTTCAGCTTTCAGCTTTTCTTCTTATGTTTTAACAAA